TTTCTTTTGCATAATCCCCTGCTAATGTGTTTTCCCCTTTATTTTTTGCTTTCCAGGACCCTTGAAACAGGATGGTTTGATAAAGCCAAACCCTCCATGCTGGACAGCCAGGAAGAGAGAAACAAGATCTGTGTTTTACCCGAGCGCAGATCCTTGTACAATTCTGAACCCGGCACACCATAGACTTCTGTGATGCTGCTATTCAGTATTCGTTCTTCTTGCAGGGTCTTTTGACTGATCCCTCCCCTTCTGCCTCGGGTGTTAGTTTCCACATTGTCTTATTTTTCCAGGAAGCTTAGGACATTGGTTTCCTTGTACACGGCACCTGTTCCCCTTTCCTGAGGTAGATGCTAGAGCACTGGTTTCCCCAGAGAGCACTTTGGCGGCACGGCTGCCGCAAGGAGACCATACAGAGCTGCCACAAACATATGGTCGGTGCAGACGCTGTACTGACTTGGCAATGGTGGCTGCGGCTGCCCGCCCCAGAACTCGACTGAGGTCAGCGTAGACAAGGTCTTGGGGCTGTACTTGCAGAGTCACACCGGTGGTTGGCCACTGATGGGTGAAATTGGGAGGAACCCCATAAGCTGTCCTTTCCTATGGCTGTCATTAGTCCTCCAGAAACCTTTAAACTGCCTGCTGGTGAAAGAGGGAAAACAGGCTGTTCTATCCCAGACTTATGACTCAAGGCCCTGACTCAAGCAGTGCAAACAGCTGTGAGGCCCCCTACGTGGTGCTCGGGAATTACTGCTGTGCTATCGTTTCCCAGACAAAGGAGTTCTCTGTGAACTGACGGGATTTCTGCATTGCAAAATGGGTAATTTGCAGACCACGCTGGTATCCTTGGAGGCAAACGTGGCTCAAACCCTGAACTCTGGAGGACTCTGCAATCCAAGTTGGCAGCCAAGTGGCTGCTCTTGGAGTTGCTCCGGGGAATATCCTGCACTTTGTGTTTTAGTTTGGGCTAGCTCCACATTTCACTTTGATTACTCATTTTCCTTCTTGCTGTTTGCTCTTACTGGACTTTCCGGACTCCGGTGCTCTGTTTGTTGGGTTAGACTGTGTAGCAATGCAACCCCAGTCCTGAAGGGAGCAGGAATTAAATGCTCTCACATGCTGACATTTCTTTGCAGGAGAGGGTTCCAGGGGGTCCAGGATAAAACTAGAGTCAAAATGTGAAAATGTACTTCTTGGGGAGGAGAAGTTGGCAGAATTCAAAGTTCACAGCTACTCTTCCAGTAGGGGGAAGCAGATGCTCTTCTCTCTTGGTGCATTCAGTCAATGCAGACAGATCTCCACACCCAGGAGGCCTAGCTGCCGAATGCAGGCATGACAATAATAACAACAATGATAATATTAATAATAAGAATAATAAACCCTCCTGGCTTTTGCCCAGGTCCATGCTACAAAGTTGTCCTGGCAGAGTGAGGTTGACTAGGAGGTTGTTAAGAATCCAACATAGCTACATCCATTGCAGGGGGGTTAGCTATGTCAGCAACGGTGTTTGGGTCAATCTAGCTCAAGTCATTCAGGGAGATGGTGTGGGGACAGCTAGAAAACCTTGTGGCCATATGCCTCATATCCAGCAGGGTACTGTCAACAGAGGGAAAGTGATACCACTGGAAGCTGAAAACTCACCTTAAAACTTTGTATATTAGATTTTGGGGCAAGTGTTCCTTTTTACATGATTTCATGAAGAACTGCTTGACTTTTCTTTGTAAAAACTACAGTTGATTTGTAGAGCTTTGTTTATCGTACAAAGACCATGGCAAAGAGGATTTTGAGAAGCTTCAGGAAGTTAAATGCATCGATTCATAGATTCATAGATTATAGAGTCGGAAGGGACCTAATGGATCATCATGTCCGACCCCCTGACCCTGGCAGGAAAGAGGACCGAGGTCAGACAACCCCAGCCAGGTGATTGTCAAGCCTCCTCTTGAAGAGATGCAGGAGTGCAGATGCAAGTGACCTGTTGTTTTAGCCTCACTGTATTCTGGAAAGTTGTTAGGTAAGTATTTTTTTTCCTCCTATCTTATAAAAATATGGCATCTCTTTCTAAGGCACGTATATTGCTGTATTAAGGAAAAGGAAACAACGATACTGAAGTTCAATCCAAAGTCCTTTCTTCTAGGTTCTGTTGTAGTAGTCCCTTAATTGCTCTAACTGCAGATGACAAAATGTTACCGATTTAGCTCCTACTATTCACACACACACTTTTGCAGGCGAATTCACCTTTAAGGCATGACACTTCTTATGCTTGGTCACAGACCAATACTGAATTTTTGAAGTTTGAAAAATCTCCTGACAGCAGTGTTCAGAGAGAGAAAATGCAGTTCCTATGGGAAAAAAAAACAAAGCCAATCTTACTTTTTTTTTCAAGCTTGACATCATGAAAGGATTTATGCTACAGATGAAGAGGTAAAACATCTCGACTGACTGGAGTTATGCACATTTGACAAGTATATCTAGATCATACAGAGAATTCCTCAGCCTGATGAAGAGTTTTTAAACCCGAAAGCTTGCTAATTTTCCCCACCCCCAGCTATTTAAGTTGGTCTAATAAAAGATATCAGATTCACCCAAAGAACCTTGTCTGTCTAGATCACACAGGCATTTAGAAATACATTGTGCATAAAAGTGTAGGTGTGCGTGTTTAAAACTGACGTGATGACAGAAACATTTATAATTTAAAAAATGACTTCTTTGAGTTTGCTTTGAGGATCAAGTTGAGACCTAGAAATCCTCTAGTCTGCAGAAAATGAACGCAGCGAAGATTTAAAAATAACAAACCCAAATGACACGTGGCTAAGAGGGGAGTATATGTAAAATGTACAGATTATGCTTTATTTCACCGTAGACCCATTTGCTTCTATACGACTTCTCATGTGCGTGCTTAAAGGCTCGTGGAAGTGTTGAGCATACGTTTAAGTATTGCGGGTTTTTGCAATACGCACATTCATCAGCTTTTGTTCACGGTTCCCAACTGTTGCATTTTTGTTAACAATCCTAGGCTGCTTGGTCGTTTTCTTTAAACCTCAGCATTTACAGTCATGCTTTTTGAAGAAAGCCTTAGTTTACATACAACACAAAGTCGCGACTCCCCCTGATTCGGAGCCAGAGCTTAAGAATGTGAAACCCAGACAGGAAGCCTGGAAGAGCCCAACAATGTATTTTGAAGTCTTATTTTTTAATCAGTTTTATGATCGACCCCGGCACACCCAGTCAAGAAGAAGTCAGCCTGGACGGGACCTCTGGAGGTCATTTCATCCAGCCGCTTGCCTCAGCACAGCACCAGCCTATCCAACCCATCATCTCAACTCTGCGTAAGACTACATCTAATCTAACGCCCGATTTTCGAGTGGGTGGCACCGGCAGTCCAGACAGCTGGATCGTGTTTTCGACCAAGCCTGCGAGCGCATTTAGCAACGCCAGGCAGGCGTGGTTTCCTTGCAACTGCCAGAGCCTTTTGCTCACATTGGTACCCTCTTATTCCTTCGAAAGGACATAAACTGGGCCCCCCTGGCGTGAAAATGGCACCATTTCCTGGGTGGCCCACACAGCTCTGGCCCCGCCCCCAAATTGGAGTCACGTGATTGCACCCCCCTCCCTGTGGACTACAGCTCCCAGTACGCAGTGCGCCGAGCGCGGGGCGTGCCGGGAGCTGTAGTCCACAGGGAGGAGGCCGGTTGCGTGCTCGGGGCGGGGCTGGGCTGGCCACTCCTCCCCGCCGTGCCCCAATCCAAAATGGCTGCGGCGGGCGCTCCGCGGCGCGACGCTCTAGCTGCCGCCGCCTCCCCTCTCTATGGTCAAGAACGGGCCCTTCTGGCCTCGGCCTCCGCTGGCTCCTGCCCCCAGCCAGCAGCCGCGACGCGC